AGGAGGAAGAAGAGAAAAAAAACGGATGGAATTACTGTGAAGAAATTAAGAATGAAAATCTGAATGATCTTTTTTTAAGGGGAAACTATAATGGAATTGAAATTACTTTTTTTTTAAAAGGAGAGACTAAAATGGAATTTCAGTTATTATCATTACTATTATTGCTATTATTATTCTTATTTTTCTCAGGGGAGACTAAAATGGAATTGACATTATAATCATTATTATCATTATTAATAATAATAATATTATTATTATTATTATTATTATTATTATTATTATTATTTTTATTATTATTATTATTATTATTATTATTATTATTATTATTATTTCTTTTTTAAGGAGAAACTAAAATGGAATTAAAGTTACCTTTATTAAGAAAATTATCGTGAGGGGAGGTTGTATCAGTTAGCAATACAAAAATCATTTTTATCATTATTGTTACTTCTGTCAATAACAGTCAATCACGAGTTAAAAAACAATAATGATTATCACTGATAAAAGTAACAACAATAAAGATGACCACAAAACAATAAAAATTATATTACCATAACAATATTACAATCCAAGTTCATTCCTAAAACTACCATCGCAATTAACAATCACTATCAATCAAACATACATGATATATTCTTTCTCAATCCCCAAAGGCATTCATTATCATTCACTGTCATTTCACACTCGTCATTTCATCTTCATTGCGTCACTATTCATGAACATGTTACCATCCTCACCCTAGTTTCTTCAATTCACTATCATTTTATTATCATCATTTTCATGAGTTTATTATCATCACCTGATTTTCATTGCTTCACTATTAATCTACTTTCATAACATTAGCTTCATCATTTCATTACCACTCCGCTGCAATACCTTCACTATCACTACTTCACTTTCATCGCATCACTATCACTTCACTTTCACGACATCACTGTCACTCCAATATCCTTCAACTTTCATCATAATCACTTCACTTCACTCAAAATTATCACTTCACTTTCACTCAAATTTATCACTTTACATTCCTCACTTTCCCCCATCACCACTTCACTTTCATCACTTTTTCACTTTATCACCACTCCACTTTCACCATCACTAGGTCACTTTCATTCAATATTATCACTATACTTTCACCACTCTTCCCTATCACCATCCACTCTCATCACTTCGCGTTTTACACTTTATCGTCACATTACTTTCACCATCACCTCGTCACTTTCAAAATTACCACTTCACTTTCACCCCTTTCACCATCACTTCGCCTTCTTCACTTTATCACCCCTTCGCTTTCACCAAATTTTCACCATCATCCCCTTTCCCCTTTCACCATTTTTCACCATCATTCCCTTTCCCCTTTCACCATTTTTCACCATCATCCCCTTTCCCCTTTCCCCTTTTTTCACCATCATTCCCTTTCCCCTTTCACCATTTTTCACCATCATCCCCTTTCCCCTTTCACCATCATCCCCTTTCCCCTTTCCCCTTTTTTCACCATCATCCCCTTTCCCCTTTCACCATTTTTCACCATCATTCCCTTTCCCCTTTCACCTCAAGCACTTACCTCCTCTGTCGACCTACACTGGTGGAGTAAATCACAGGTGTACTTCTTGCACTGTTCACTTAATTCCAGGTAAGTGTCTTTAAATTCATTCTCGACCCTTGCAAGGCGCTCTAGTTCCCACGACAGCTGTAAAGAAGTTATAAAGGGGGTCATTGCAAGGTCATTGGTTGCAGGTCATGGTGTGGGAGTATGTATTTTTGATTTATTTATTTGTATGTTGATTATTATTGTTATTAAGATTATTTTTTTGTGCGGTTTGTGTAAGTGTGTTGGATGGGAGGGAGGGAGGGGGGGTGAGGGTAGGGAAGAGGAGAAGGAATTATGGTAATGATGAGGAAAATTAATACAATTATCTATTATTATCATTATCACTACTTTTTATCGCTATTGTCATAATCATCATGATTATTATCACCCTCATCATCACCATCACCATGGTCATTATCTTATTACTATCATTATCAATATTAATTTTACTATAACTATCATCAGTCTTTATATCATTACTACATATATAACCTTTGCTGGTTCTCCAATACTATTTACTTCTTCTAGTACTGTTAACGACCAGAAAGATATTGAACTATTGAATATTCACACACAAAATATTTATCCATAGAATTTTCTAATGGACCTGCTTAATTCCTTAATTCCTGCTTAATAACCGAAGGAAAAGAAAATCTAAAAAAAAAAAAAAAAAAAAAAAAAAAAAAAAAAAAAAAAAAAAAAAAAAAAATATATATATATATATATATATATATATATATATATATATATATATATATATATATATATATATATCTGATATTTGAAGAAAATCCAAGTAAAGATAATGTAGAGTAGTAAAACGTACCCTAAATTGTACTCTACACTCTCCGTCCATCACCATAATGGAGGGAATCCAATATTTACCGTAGCTGGCCATTATACATATACTGTAATAAGCCATAAGCACACGCAGCACTAACGTAACACGAATATGGACGCTATTTGGTATGTAAACCCATATCCAGATTCATACAATCTAAGACGATTTGGAAACCGATTCTATTCCAGAACGAAATGTAAACTATAGGATAGTTTCAACACCTCCAGACTGTGGATGTATCTTGTATGTAGTCAATATTGCACTTTACAATGGGTTCACATTGGGTCTCTCTACCTCTCCCTTCTACATCAATACAGTTAGATGCAAAGGTATTCGCTAAGGTCCTTGTTCGCTGTAGTACCGAAATTGCCTCGTATTTCTCGACACGGTTGAGGATATTTATAAAACATGGTAACGTCTATAACAGGGCTACTTACCTATTACGAGCAATGGTTAAGTTAGAGACGTTCCAATATATGGGCCGGATAAATATTTTACGATCATGGAAATAGAACCACCAATCTATATGATTTTTTTATTCATTTTATATTCAATCTTTGACTTATTTATACAAATTATAAAGCTAACTAGTACATATAAAAAAAATATTCGATTTTGTTTCTAAAATATAGCAAGACTTGGATATATTTCTCTCAAAAAACAACTGAAATAGAGAATTTTCAAATGGAAAATATAAATGTTTCATGTATTGCTACATCATTCTTTTTAATTATACAACGCTACAACACTCAAAAAGTCAGGATTCAGGCCGCCAGTTAAGTAACCCTGATCTATAACGTTTAGTTAATTACTGACCTTTATTATATATGCGTAAATAGAAGATATTTAAATGGCCAGAGGCTGTGTACATATCGATTCCTTTTAAAGCCAACAATAGAGGGAAATATTTTCGCAAGAGTATTTCCAACATATATATTTTTAATTCAGATTTCTGGCCAAAAAAAAGGCATACCCGACACACACGAGCAAGACAGCATATGCAGCAACTACAACAACAACAACAACAACAACAACAACAAGAATGAAATGAATAAAAAAAACGTCGGATAAACTGGACCACCAAAGGGGTAGCCCCCACAAAAAAACAACAACAACAGAACAAGCATCAACAACAACAACAAAAAAAAAACAATAAAAATAATAATCATAAAAGCCTCCTCCCCCCCCCTTTAAAAAAGGAAATCAAGCCATTATATTAAAAAACGAGAACCTAAGGAGCAGGAGAAGAAGAAGAAGAAGTAGTAGTAAAAGGAGAAAGAGGAGAAATATAATAATAATAATGAGAATGATGATAATAATAATAATAATAATAATAGTAGTAGTAGTAGTAGTAGTAGTAGTAGTTGTTGTTGTAGTAATAGTAGTATTAGTAGTAGTAGTAGTAATAACGATAATAATAATATTAATAATAATAATGATAATAATAATGAGAATGATGATGATAATAGTAATAATAATAATAATAGTAGTAGTAGTATTAGTAGTAGTAGCAGTAGTAGTAGTAATAATGATAATAATAATAATAATAATAATGATAATAATAATAATAATAATAATAATAATAATAATAATAATAATAATAATAATAATAATAATAATAGTGATAATAATAATAATAATAATAATAATAATGATAATAATCTAAGGAAGACGAAAAAGATACAAGAATAGGAGAACCCTTATCAGTCCAATATAAATCGACCACAGCCCAGAGCAAAAACAAACAAAGAAATAAACAATCACAATAAAAAAAAAATATGTAAGATAAAAAACCCCGACCACCTCATCCACAACAGGCCAGGAACAACAACAACTTCATAAACAACAAAAATGTCTAAAATACACAGAAAAAAGAAAATCATCTCTTCTAGCAATAAAAAAAAACAGTCAGATCACCGAACCAAAACAAAATATTCCAACTGTACCATACAAAAAAAGGAACATTAAAGAGAGAGAGAGAGAGAGAGAGAGAGAGAGAGAGAGAGAGAGAGAGAGAGAGAGAGAGAGAGAGAGAGAGAGAGAGAGAGAGAGAGAGAGAGAGAGGAGAAGCAGGAGGAGGAGGAGGAGGAAAGAGAGGAGAGGGAAGGAAAAAGATGAGTAGAGAAAGAGGAAGCGAGAGAAAGAGAGAAAGAGAGAGAGAGACAGAGAGAAAGATAGAAAGACAGAGAGAGAAAGACAGAGAGAGAAAGACAGAGAGAGAAAGACAGAGAAAGAAAGAGAGAGAAAGAAACAGAGACAGAGAGAGAGAGATGGAAGATTACTCCAGATACCCATCTCCACGTACCCTGAAAGCAGCCAAGATTGGGTCCTCAGAAGTCAGCGATATCCACGCAGGAGAGGCGAGGGCGCGGTAGGTGTGAATCCTCCTCATGCTGTACCGCAAGGAATCCGAGTGAAATCCTTCGGTGCACTGGCGACAGGAACACGACAGAGGATGTGGCTTGTCGATGTAGGCCCCTGGTGGTGGAGGAGTGAATGTTTAGTTTGGATTAATGCAAGAGGTGTACATGCATGCTATGTAGATATTCGCACGTACGCAAACACACACAC